TGTCCATTAGTATATATTTTGAATCTTTAATAAAAGGGAATAACATCGAAAAAGTTTGATAAACAATAAAGGTATACAATACTTGTTTATCTAGAAATATCTGCACGCCCCAAGCTAGAAGTCTTTTCGGTTGCACTGATCCAGTCCCAACCTGCAAGCCTCAAGATAAACATTTCTGATGTCAACTAGACCTTCCAGACACAACTGGTTGATAAGCATTGTTCATTGCAAAAAGACTATGCTCAGTATAACTCCCTATGCATTATTTATTGCCATCTACCTTTGATCGAAATACACATATTCTTAGAATAGAAACATATAACATTACTGTATTACTACGATGATATTGTTATGAAGAGATTACAGGAAAGGTATCTCTAGGCATCCAAATAGCATCTCATGTACCAGCATAAGGGTCGAGTAATCCATTCCAGTATACCTACACGAGAAAACACTATTAGGAATCAACATCAAATGATGCTTATTGCATAACATGTTGTCCACATGACAGATTGACTTGACGAATAATACTCTGACATTTTGAGCAACAGATACTCAGGTTAAATTCACTGACGTGTAAGCACATTCACTTGATATGATTTGGTGAAATTTAGTGAAATTCGATACCATTTTGTTAGTGATCTAGTATAATTGTATTTGAATGTGACAGCACAACTTGATATGAAGGGGAATAGGCATGGAATGTTTGCTTCTTCGAAAGCCTTTGCTGAAATGTAAAAGTGTGAAACAACTGTTGGTGGAAGCATTTCCATGTTTACATGGCGTGTATTAACACTTGGTGTTCTTCACCTATTACTTTCTTCAACTCACAAGTTTTCAATGACTGCTGACTCCACAGACTACAGATCCCTTCCTCTTTGTTTCAATATTATATCAGTGTGAAAGTGTTTCAGTTATCCAATACTCCAGTTGAGATATCAGTCAGTCAGGAATAACATTGAACCTGGTGTGTATTGCTCATCGATCACAATAGTCACACATTGTATCAGTTGATCAAATCGGAAAGCAACATTATGAAACATTGGATGAGTGAGGAAGGAAGTAGTCGACAAGAGTGGAAAGTCATAAATTGGAGAACAAACCAGGAGCAGGATGTAGTGATGATCAGGATTATGATAATGTATAGATACATCTGCAAATGTTGAGATGGATTATGAATCCTGTTGTCTACAGTCTCAAAGCACTGACCTCAGCTGTCTCTCAGCATCTTCACTCCATCAGGAGGGTTACATTCCCTTACATTACTCACAGCAATAATCAGAAGCCTCATGAATTGATGTACGTCACGTAGCATGATGGTAGCCTCACGAGAGACGAAATTAGACGACACACAGAGTGTATCTGTTCGAGAATTCAGGATAATGTATGTTCACAACTAGTTCAGTAGTACGTCGCATTATTGACCCACGCCCTTACTGATTATTCTACAATTCTTCACTTTTTCTATACATGTCTTCTACAAATGTGACATTGATAGAAATAGTCTATAGTTAACGACAGGGCAAAATGCTTGTCAAGCATTTTGTTGGTAATCACAACAAGGTTAGAGAGACAACACCTGATCAATTCGTCTACAATATCTAGTTTTGTATTAAGTCCTACGTCACCCGACTTATGTATCCCTGACATCTCCATCTTCACTCTTCAGTGAATCACACAGACGGAAACACCGAATTCCTAATGGTTACAAACACTCGTATGCTGATGAGTGCTGATATATGCGAAATACAGGTAGAACAGTGCTTACTACTGACTGCCTTCAGCCACACAACAGTCAACCAGTAATCTCACGGTTCAGTCTCTTGAAATTAATTTTATTATTACTTCACAACATTGTTTCTCAACAGTGTAATGAACCAAGGTGAATTTTCACGTTCTACCAATTCGTCCTATATTCATTATGTTGGTAATCATTTCAGTCATTTTCCATGAGTAAACTGTTAATTACATTATGTAATTTAAAAAATGACATTCTGAATTTCCTTGTCAGAAAATCTTATCGATTTCGAAATTACAAAATCGGACAAAATTCTTACAAAAAAAGATGAAGGTTAGTTACTACCGAATATGTCATCAAATCTAATAATCATATGATCATTATTATTATCTCTCTCTTCGGTTCGTACTCGAACATAACACATCAGTAAAATGTCACCATTTCACTCTCCTACCTCCAGTCATTCTTTAACCTGCTTTAAGACAGCACGTCACCTCTCATTTCGGTACCATTTAACCTCCTCTATCTCACCCTCAAATGTCGAACTCGTCGCACCCATTCTGATTACAATCGACAGCGTGTTGCTTAGTGTTCCAAAACCGACTTCTCACTGTATATTCAATCCAACTCAACAAATACACGATAGCTTCTTCCTTCATTACTCGTTACTTCATTGCCAGACACACTGAGTTCCTTCCTCACTGTTGATTGCCTCTCACCATCCAATCTCATCTTCACTATCCAGTGAGCGAGACACCAGCTGTAAACCAATGTTTACAAATTGTTGGAAATGCCTTTCGTGATGCGCCACATTTCTCAAGCATCATATGGATCATATGAATTGACTTACATCAGTGTTGACAATACGGATCTCGTTCCACATGCTGAGTACAGTACAGTACAGCACAGTGCAGTGCAGCACAGGCAGTGCAGTGGAGTGGAGTGGAGTGCAATGCAGAAGATCACACTGATTAGTTCAGTTCAATGCAGGAACGCCTTCATTTACTGCCTGATTCTGATTCAGGCTTCGACGTCCTCATATGTGCCTGTGCCACCGCCTGTTGTTCGAACGATGCTGCCTATGTGGGTGTGTAGATGAGACAGACAACTTCCTTCAGCTTTATGCTGTCGGTGGTGATTGATGTTTGTTGTAGTTGTAGTTGGTTGAGTATCTCCATCATCTGTTCACGTTCCCCTGTAGGATGTCCCATCTTCCTTCACTGCCTCATCTCGCCTCACCACTCCTCTCAACTTCTCATTTTTCGACTGCAGTTGTTTGATTTTTTGCGACAGCAGAAGGTTCTGAAGAAAGAAAAGATATGTACCTGTCGATTGGGAGGAGGAAAAACCTTCTCAAACTTCGAAAAACTAAGTAAAGTAAGGCTTTGCAAGAAGTGGACATGAATCATACTCCTGTCCACACCAAGTGAAAATCTAACCCCCATCATCCTGGAGTGACTTAAATTACCCTAGATTCAAACTACGACCAGAAGAGTCTGTCTGTCTGGCTGGCTGGTTGGCTTCAGGAAGAACAAATCGTGTGTGGATCAAATTGTAACGCCATAATACCCCTCAACATAGAACAGAGCATAGAATGCCAGCCAAATCTCCACCTCAAGTTCATCCACTTTGAAAAGAGCTTCGATAGCGTCGATCAGGAAGTAATTTGACGCCTGCTTTAAAACTATGCTTTAAGAGTAAAAAGCCAGTACCAACCTCATTCAGCAGCAGGTATACCCTGTATCAGGATGCGACATGTCAAGTCAGTCACAAAGAAAGGCTCAGTGTTGTCTTTGAAGTGAACTGAAGTGAAGACAGGGAGGAGTCAGACAAGATGGCCGCCCACTATCTTCGATGATCTTTCTCATTGTGGTCTACTCGAAAAGACGGGACTGTACTTGACTGGACCAGTCTGGACTGCACTGCACTGCACTCCACTGGACCATGCGACAAACAACTGTGAGGAGCGAGAAGATGGGAATATGTTTGCTGTTTGACCGATTGGAAGACACTACAGGATATGGATTTAGCCCATGATGATCCACATTTAATGTCTTGTGTCACACAAACTCGATTATTTACATTCGAAAAAATGACAAGTTGAGAGGAGTGGTGAGGCGAGATGAGGCAGTGAAGGAAGATGGGACATCCTACAGGGGAACGTGGACAGATGATGGAGATACTCAACCAACTACAACTACAACAAACATCAATCACCACCGACAGCATAAAGCTGAAGGAAGTTGTCTGTCTCATCTACACACCCACATAGGCAGCATCGTTCGAACAACAGGCGGTGGCACAGGCACATATGAGGACGTCGAAGCCTGAATCAGAATCAGGCAGTAAATGAAGGCGTTCCTGCATTGAACTGAACTAATCAGTGTGATCTTCTGCATTGCACTCCACTCCACTCCACTGCACTGCCTGTGCTGCACTGCACTGTGCTGTACTGTACTGTACTCAGCATGTGGAACGAGATCCGTATTGTCAACACTGATGTAAGTCAATTCATATGATCCATATGATGCTTGAGAAATGTGGCGCATCACGAAAGGCATTTCCAACAATTTGTAAACATTGGTTTACAGCTGGTGTCTCGCTCACTGGATAGTGAAGATGAGATTGGATGGTGAGAGGCAATCAACAGTGAGGAAGGAACTCAGTGTGTCTGGCAATGAAGTAACGAGTAATGAAGGAAGAAGGTATGGTGTAATTGATATGGAGGAGAAGAGAATGAAGACAGATTGGATTGGACATACACAGAGGACAAGCCATCTAATCGAATTCAAATTAGAGCCAAGGAATTGGGCGTTCGTGGATGTGATGTAGGCGGTCGTGTGGTAATGCCATGAAAGTTTATAAGCAGTGGTTTCATTCATTTGACTCTGTGCTGCGACTTCATAATCGATGATCAGTAATCACTTCATTCATTTTTACGATGTTAAATTCATCTTCAACTTTGCCTTCGTTTGATCCATATAATGAAGGTGATGTCAATAGAAACAGCACTTATTCACCTTATTAGGTCTTTTTTTTAATGGTTGATGAAACTGCCCCTTCCTAATAAAATGAATATTTCCTCATATGTACAATATTTTATCGTTCACTGATGAATTCAATACAATATCCACTGTTCCATCTATCTACATAAATAACAACCCTGAAGTCATTACTCATACTTTGTGATTTCGTCTGTCACCAGAACCTCATTTTCTCCTTCTTTGTCTCTCTCTCTCTCTCTTCTTCTTCTTTTCTACAGGTTCATCGATTTTCAAAGGATTATCATTGTCATGTAAGTAATTTTTATGCATAATTCACTCTTAAATTAGTAATATACTCAACTGTGTGCTTAAATTTAACTATATACGGAAAAAAACCTATCGAAACTAGTTTTTTCATGAAAAGGAAGAATAAGCATTCTAACATTTTTTTTTATCCTCATTGAAGATGTAACTTCAACAGAGAACAAATCATTCCACCGGTCACGACTTGTCATTGGAACTTCTGGAATACTTCTTGAAGCTAGTCACCAATGAGCACTAGTTCAATTAAATTTTGAGGGGGTTGTGTCAAAGCCTGATGACCGTGAGGACAAATACTCAACGATGACATTGGGTGGCGGTTGCGCTATATATCGTGAGCTAACAGAAGTTGGAAATATGGAGCATTGGATTCTGAACCAGTGCCTAGCTCAATGGTAACGCGCTGGTCGCGGAACTTGAAGGTCGCGGGTTCGATCCCTGCTGGTGTGGGGTCGTGGGTGCGCACTGCTGAGGAGTCCCATACTAGGATGAAACAGCTGTCCAGTGCTCCCAGGTTTCCTTTGTTCCTCCAACTGATGTCAGTCTTCGATGAATAACAACTTGAAATATTTCCAAATCTCCACGACCCCCTCAAAATTGAATAATGAATAGTTAAAGTAATCGATATTTCATCATAGGAGAAGACAAGACGTGGTTTCAGCAATGAAGTCATTTACTGCTAAGCTGTACATTTATGAATATAAAGTGAGTAGAATATTCAGTTAGGGTTTTCGATCAGGGAGGCAAAATATATTGAAGAAAGTGAATTAATAAACATTTGTGTTTAGAGTAGGCTGGATTCAGGAAGCTGTGATACCTTTGAAATGAAGTGAAGATAGGAGTAAGACAAGATTGCTGTCTACTATCACTCATGATCTTCCTGATTGTGGTCGACTGAATCATGCAGCAGACAACTGTGAGGAGTGAGCAGATGGGAGATCCACTAACTGGACAAATGAAAAAGGCTTGGAAGATTTGTATTTCGCCCATGATGACTTCTGTCTAACGTCGCACTAACTCGACGATATACAGGTGAAAACTAACAACTTGACACAAGACGCACGCCGAGGTAGTGAAGGAAGACTGCACTCCTTTCAAGTGAACGCAGAGGAGACAGAGGTGATGATAATGATGATAACAAACCAACGCCACCACCAATCATCATGAATGGGAGGAACTTAAAGGAAGTAGCCTCTTTCACCCTCCTACCCAGGCAGCACCGTCTCAACTACAGGTGGCAGCACCACAGATGAGAACGTCAGAGACAGTCATGATCGAAACAGGAGGCAAGATAGGCGTTCCTGCATTAAACTGAAACCAGTGTGGAGATCTTCTGTACTCCACTCCACTCCAATGCACTGCACTGCACTCAGCATAAAGTGTGAACAACATCCAGATTCCCAACACAAATCCAGTCAAGTCAATGCTCTGCTTCTTTGTGATGCTTGAGAGACATGGCGCGTCATGAAAGACATTTACAACAAACTACAAATATTCATCAACAACTGCTGTCTACACTGGCTCATCACTGAACATCAGATCAGATTGTCAGAATAATAGGAATAAGGAAGGAGAGACTCAGTGTGGTTGGCTGGTGACGAACCAACGAAGCAAGAATCTATCGCTGAACAAATATGGAGTATAAGGAAGTGTAGATGGATAGGATTGAGCATGCAGTGAGAAGACCGACTAGTGGTATCACTCTCCAGACCATTCCGTTGAGCGGAACCGTGATGAGAAATGAGGAGTTGGGCGTGCCAGTTGATGGTGACATGGATGAAGTAGATGGTGTGAAGAAGAAATGAGAGGTTGTGGTGAGTGGTGTACCGAGGTTGAGAAGATTGCAGAGAAGAGAGTGGAATGGCGACATGCTAGTGAAGCCCTCTATTCCACAAGAAACGCGAGGTACAAATAATCAAGAATAATAATGACCTTTCACACAGAGCATATGATTAGACACGTGCACCTTAGGATACGAGAACATCCGTCGGTTTGTTTTTAAAAAAAGTGTGAAGTGATAGCGGTAGAAATGTCTGTGTTAGCCCACCTGCTAGACTCAGAGTATCATATAGATACTGAAAAGAGCTTTGAATTTATTACTGAATATACCAAAAACATTAACTGGTGTAGCTATCATCGCCTAATCAACAGAGTTGACAGGATTGTACTTAAATTGATCTAACCGGAATTATCTATTCAGAAAAAGTGTATCTAAAATCTATTCCTAATTTCATCTTCAGTAAATGTGAAGTTAATCTCCTCTTCATTGTTTGAGATCGCTGATTTGACTATTATCATCATCATCACCATCATTATCAACTTCTATTCCATTTTGAAAGTGTATTCATTTCAAGATTAGCTTTATCAGTTTAGGCTAAACATTCACTTACCTAAAAGGCTAGTTTACATATGAATATTCTCATCAAGTCCTATTGTGTAGTGAATGCATTCCTAGAATGGAATATAAGTCAGGAATTTTAAGTTTATCCATGATGAAGTGATGTTGATAAAAAAAAAGACAAGAGATTTTGCGAGAGAGAAACAATCAATCTTTGGTTATGTGAAATCTAATTGACAAATGAAAACTTAATTTGTTCTATCTGAATGTAGAAATGTGTTTGGATCGACTCGATTACGACAGCTGAAGATATATTGATCAGGTAATAGCGAAACAACATGTTCAGTTGCTTTTGGTACATGACATATGACAGTGAAGGCTAGATTAGTATTTATAAAATTCCGTGTGCCTATCACTTTGATTAAAATAGAACTTCGTACTATTTTCACTAACAATTACTCCAACTGTTCTCATATCCATGAGAAATGCACTTGCCTAGTTGTTCCATAGAAACAGATAATTTAATACATAGAAGATTTAAAAAACGACATCACTGTTTCTAATATTTTCGATTGACTAACCAGTCATTAAAATATATACAAATACAACCTAAGAGTTTCGTTAGTTGCTGTAGCCATGAAATGTTCCAGGATGTCACTTTCGTTGTCTCTTTCTTCTATTCTACTCTCAGAAACAAAGGTTATTACACCTTTATTGTTATAAATTCAACTTTGCAATTACTCCAAGCAATATTTTACTTGATAGAGTCTTCAGACTATTATTCTTTCAGAAGTAGTATTCATCATGGACTGACATCAATTGGGGAACCATTGAAAATTTGAGAGGGCTGGACAGTTGTTTCGTCCAAATAGTATGGGACTCCTCAGCAGTACGCACCCACGACCGGTCTAGGAACCGAACTCAGGACTTTTGGGTTTCACGGAGAACTTCTAAATTAAAAAAATTCTCATTCATCTCAAAAGTACATTACTGTATAGTGCTCATTAGTGACTTGCTTCCAGATGGGAAGGTGATGAAGATACCCAACCAACACCAACACAACCAACAACAAGCACCAATCACCATCAGCGGGAGAAACTGAAAAGAAGTAGCCTCTTTCAACTACCCACCTAGGCAGCACTGTTTCAATTACAGGCGGCAGCGCTACAGACGAGGACGTCAAAGCCAGGATAGGAAAAACAGCAAGATAGGTTTTCATTAACCTGAAACCAGTGTAGAGGTCTGCACTCAGCATAAAGAACAAGATGCGGATTTTCAACACTAATGACAGTCAAGTCAGTGCTGCTACATGATTCAGAAACTTGGCGCCTTACGAAAGGCATTTCCAACAAACTACAGATATTCATCAACAACTGCCGCATACACTGGCTCCTTACTGAAGCTCAGATGGATAGAAAGAATAAGCAACAAGGAACTGTGGGAACGAACCAACAAAGTAAGAACTTACAGCTGAACAAATATGGAGTCGAAGGAAGTGGAGATGGATTGGGCATACACTCAGAAGGCCAACTTTGAACATCACGCACCAGGCCAGGCCCTCGAGTGGAACCCAGATGGGAAGCGAAGAGTTTGGGTGTCCAATGCGATGGTGAGATGGAGGTGATCATGCAAGGAAGAAATGAGAGCTTGTGAGCTGTCATGGAACCAGGTTCAAAAGATTACAGAGAACAAATTGCACTGGAGACATGCCACTGAAGCGCTGTGTTCCATTAGAAACGCAAAACACAAATAATAGTTAAGATAATTCCAAATGGATATCACGAAACTCTAATGAGAAGTCGTGACCTATGGCGTCAACCAATCAGAAGTGAAGTGAGTGCTAATTGAAGAAGTTGAAAATTGTGAACCACTGAAAACCGACTCATTGACTGAATGATCAATAAATTGTCTTTGAAACATAAAAATGCTGAGTTCTATCCCTAGCAAAGGTCATCGTCTCATAGTACGATGAAACATGTGTCCAGTGCTATCAAATATCCAATAGTTCTCCAACTGATATCACTTTATGATAAATACTACTTTCTAATAAATAATTGTATCATTTTATTGATTTCCTTTTATATGTTTCTCTTTTAGATATCATTATCGCAGGTGTTGGTGGTATTGTTCTACTCTTAATTATTCTATTAGTATGTTGTGCTTATTGTAAGAGACATTAACCAATGCCAATTATTATATAAATATAATTCTGACTTATATTTAATCAAAATTCTCATTGGATTGTAATTTTTTTTATTATAACTTTCATATTTCATAAGCTTCTTTTCATTCGATAAAAATGTTTTATCTGATATTTCGTTTATCCTTCACAATCTTTATGAAAAAAAGAAAGTTAACAATATTCAATGCAATAGTTCATTCATTACTATATATCTTACATAATTAATCATATTTTGATAATTGAATAAATTATATTATGCTTTAAAAATACCTTCTATTCGAATGATTAATTGATGTAGGTAATTGTTATTTATCGAAGACTGACATCAGTTGGAGGAACAAAGGAAACCTGGGAGCACTGGACAGCTGTTTCGTCCGACTAGTATGGGACTCCTCAGCAGTACGCAGTGTAGGTAGGATTATCATGGTTGTGTTGTGTTCTCTGAGGAACTGGGTTTTTTTCGTTTTGTTCGTAGAGTTATTATATCATCTTGTTAGACTATGAAGTGAGGCATCAATATCTCTGTGTATGAATAATTCAGTAGCTGGCTGTCAATAACAAATTTATAATTGATTATTCCCTTAGATTATTGTGTTAATAATTGACTGAATAGATTTCTATATTGCCTGTTACTCAGTTTGACCCCTGTTCACTTTTCTATTGTTGTCTATCATTTTCTTTTCGATTGGTTGATTGTTGATTGATTTTTGCTTGACAATATACTTCCAATTCAATGATAAGATATACAAACAGATGAAAGGGACTCCAATGATGTCAACAATATCCCGATGATATATAGAAGCAGTAATGCACAGACTGGAAGCCATCATTCTATTTGTGATCAAAGCAAACATTTGGATTCAGTATGTAGACGATACATTTTTGTCATAATTAAAGACGATATAGACAACACTCACTGTTTGATCGACAACGTTTCCAGTGATATCAAATTCACAATGGAGAAAGAGTGAAACAACCCATTACCATTCCTGGATGTTTTAGTCAGTAGGTTAAATGCCAGATAGCTGGAAACTCAAGTGTACAGGCAGCCAACACACCCTGATCAAATCCTCAACTACAGTAACAACAACCTAACAACACACAAAATTAGTTGTGTGCAAGCTCTGTTGAAGAGCACAAGAACACACTGTGGAGTACAACAACTTCAGGGACAAAAGAAGAAAATTATCTGATGTCCATCCATAAGTAGAACGGCTACCGACGAAGCTATATCACAAGATGACTATCCTTTTACAACATCAACTACAAAGCCATCGACAGAAATCAGCAAAATCACCATCCTACTATGCATAAAGAATATATCGAAAATCGTGACAAGATTACTGAGACTACTTGAAATCGGTGTGTGGTGCCTCACAAACCAACAGAATCCCTTCTAACCATATTATGCGAACCCATTGGCACAACAACCGAAGAATACAAACCGAATATCATCTATAAAATCAACTGGAACAACTGTAGTCAACACTAGATTGAACAAAGTGGTCTCCCTCTTCACCTTCCTTTAAATAAGAACACCAATTGGCTGCTGAACGTTACGACATTTTATGACTTATCACTCAATCCACGTGGATAACAACTGTGGACATGAAGTGAATTTTGACAATGTAGAAATGTTGGATGTAGAAAGGAAAGACAAAGTGTATCGAACAATCCCTAGAAGCATGCCATTCAAGTCTACCAAAAACCAGCAGGTGAATAGACATAGACCCATTCCAACAAGCAATAAGAAAAGTAATAAGCAACAGAAAGGTGAACAGGGGTCAAGCAGAGGAACAGCCAACAAGAAAATCTACACAGTTAATGACGAAATAATCAAAGTGAACAGCCAATCCCAAACCAGTTGGTGAAGATAAGCCACCGAGATGATGATAGCTCACTTCACATTGAAGTGCGTGCTGCTGATGTTGTTTAGCAAGACGATGAAAGTTTCTCCACGATTTAACAACCCAGCTCCTCAGAGAACACAATACAATCAACACCATCCATCTGAGCTAAAAAAAATTCTCCACCACTGGTGTGAAATTAACTTGGTAGATTGGTGTTTTGTGCCACTCAAACTATAGAATCATCTTCATGTTAACCGTGGATGTCAGTTTTAACTGATTTGTAGAAATTTCCTCCTAGCTTGGAATGACCTTAGTTCATTGCTGAATTGTGTTTTCCGATTGTTGAATAGATTGGTATTGGATAAAAAGAGTCATTAGGCGTAAAGTTAGCTCTGTATACTTGCTGATAGACACAATCAAGGAGATTCTGTTAGAACAATGAGTCAACTAGTATTAAAGGAAGTCATGGAAATAATCAAGAGGCTATTCAAGCGTTGACTAACCTCTTATGCTACTAGATACTATATAAGAGTGAATCAAAAGGAATTCTGACTGGTGACGAACCAACCAAGAATATATCACCCAACAAATATGCAGAATAAGGTGGAGATGAATTGGGCATACACTGAGAAGGTCGACTGTAGACATCACGCAACAGGCCAGGCCCTCGAGTGAAACCCAGATGGGAAACGACGAAATGGACGTCCCAGCTGATGGTGACATGGAAAAGATGGCATGAGAAAGAAATGAGAGGTTGTGGAGAGTCATAGAGTCAGGTTGAAAAGATTGGAGAGAAGACAGTGGAATGGAGACGTGCTATCGAATCCCTGTGTTCCACTAGGAACCCAAGAGACAAATAATAATAATAATACTAGGAAGTAAGTAGCACATGTAGCTACAAAGCCCTAAGTTCTCATTTATCATCATCATCATCATTATCAACACAGGACCAGGCATTACTGCGTAACGGTCCGAGTTGCCACACCTCATATCAGCACATCAAGTAAAAAGGTAGTGAGGTGAAGGATGAAGATAAGTGAATGCAGTCAAAAGAAATATAAAGTACGAGAAGAAAGGAAAGAGGAGTGACAAAATAGTGAGATTCGGTATAGCGTTGTTAAGATGAGGATAATGTGTGTATACATCTGCGCCACTGACTTCGGTTCTGAGCCATATCACCTAGGGTCTCCAACCACTGGTTCCTCTTGTCCCGTGGACCCCAACCACCTAGTCTGCATCGTCCTACATGGCTTAAACCAACAGTCAGAGACTTCATACATTGGTGCCATGTTTTAGTCTGGCCACCTCGGGCCTTTTTCCAGCCTGAACCCACCTCAGCCAACATTGTGTGACGAGGCAATCGGTGACTAGGCATACGTAGTACGTGTCCCAACCATCTCAGTCGATGAAGGTTCACAACCTCGTCGACTGACTTACCTCTTCTCCCTAAAACTCTACACCTAACTTCTGCATTACTCACATGGTGACACCACGGAATACGTCCTATACTACGAAGGCAACGGTGGTCAAACACCTGAAACCTTCTCATGTCTTCCACTTTCAATGGCCATGTTTCACAGCCATACAGTAGAACAGAGCGGACTGCTGTGCAGTACACGCGACCCTTAATAGACAAACGAATATCACGGCGGCGCCATAGGTGGCGCAAATTGGCAAAAGCCAATCGAGCCTTTTGTATCCGTGCAGAAATCTCATCGGCAACTAACCCACCGGGTTGATCCTACTTCCCAGGTAAGTGAAGTGGTCAACACACTCAACCACTTCACTCTCTATTGTTAACCGCGGTACCGCTGAAGACCAGTCCTGGAGCAAAAATTTGCATTTGGGTGGTGAAAATCGCATCCCAAACATTCTCAAATTCCCACTCAAAGTGTTCAGAAGACTCTGCATCTTGTCAGCGTCTTCACCTAACAGGACTATGTCATCTGCATATTCTAGATCTAAGGAAAATTCACCTGTGATCCGGTCAACGTCTTTGTAATTAGGTGACGAGAGGGAAACCTCCATAAGAATATCTATGATAAAATTAAATAAGAATGGGGATAGTGGGCATCCTTGACGGACACCACTTGATGAGTATAGCTCCCTGGACAACTCACCATAGGCTCTAACATGCCCACAAGTGTTCGAGTAGAGAGCTTTCAATAAGGTGATGTACTTACTAGGCACGCCTTTCAGTGACAGACACTGCCATAAGACTTCTCGATCAACGGAGTCAAATGCCGCCTTCAGGTCGAGAAATACAGCTATTGTCGGGCGTCTGTAAGCATGCCTATGTTCCAGGACCTGGCGCAGTGTGAATATTTGGTCGATACATCCACGGCCAGGTCTAAAGCCTGCCTGGTTTTCTCGGGCTTGCTGTTCCCGAGCTCCACTCAGGCGTCGGAGAATTATAGAACTTAGGATCTTAGACACTATGTTTGTCAGGCTGATTCCTCTGTGGTTATCACAAGAGGACTTCTCGCCTTTCTTGAAGACTGGGATGATGAGTGACTTAGACCAGTCGGAGGGGATCGTATTTGATTCCCATATACTGGCTAACACTTCCGTTAGCCTGACTAAGAGAACTCTACCACCATTCTTGTATACCTCAGCAGGTAGTCCGTCTGGTCCTGCTGCCCTTCCCCGTTTCAGGCTACCTACCGCTTTCTCAACTTCTTCTAGTGTTGGGGGACCTGTCTCTATGTCCCATTCAGGGTCCGACTGGATAGCGGGCAGCGCAATGGTGGCTGGAGGCCAGTTAAACTGTTCCTCAAAGTGTTCTGCCCATCGTCCCAGTCGCCTTCCCTGCGAGTGAATCGCCGATCCGTCCTTCTCCGCTATAACCTCACTAACTGTTGTTGACCATTTCCCCCCAGTCTCCTTAATAAGTCTAAATAACTGTCTACTGTTACCGATCGCCGCTGCCTTTTCCATCTCTTTAGCCTTTGCTGCCCACCACTGTTCACGATCGTTGCGCAGACTTTTCGTCAGTTTATTTTTAAGTTGCGCTCGCTCTTCATTGTACTCAGAGCCTGCAGGGATGCATTCACGTGCATCCATTAGTTTGGAAGAAGCTGCTGATATCCACTGGCTCTTTTTAGCCATTATCTTGGAGTCGGCTACAGTCTCCAGTGCTGCTTTTACA